TGTTCACTATATAAAGAAACAATTACAAGGAAAAGTAGTAATGACAAAATCTACAGTTTTCACCATTCTCTCCATAGTTATGAATATACTGGGGTTAATTACTATCATTATACACTTAAAAAGAGGGGGAAATTAAGGGGCTGGAGAGTCCAATGTCGGGATAAGGAAGTATCAGCTTATTAAAGACAAATTACTATAACAATATTTTTTCTAAATTGGTTGCCGGTAACGGACAGTACTAGTAACGTTACCGGTATTGTTGATTATGCGCATTTGCTAGAATGGATATTTATTGTTACTCATACCATGCTGGAGGTTTACTGAGAGATGTTCCGTAATGGAGTAAAACTTGTGATGGTTAAAAGTTCAAAGCAATTACACGTCACATGTACAGCTAGGGACTGTTATTAACAATCCTCGGTTGTAGGAAGGATGGTGAATTAAATATTTTGAGAATAAGATTAGATTGTTGAAATTGTTGTTCTTTTACCATATGTTTGGTGTATATGGATGTTTAATCGGTTTTGTTTTGTTCAAATTTTTCAGAAGTTGAAGGAAGCCGAGAGGAACTGGATATAGGAAGGCCAATGTGCAGTTAGAGAGGCAGCTTGTGATGGCTTCTGGTTGGAGCAGGGCGTTATTAGGTATGCGTGGAAACCTGAAGGGAACAGAGGGGATCCTGAGTACTCACACAGGATTAACTCTTGACTCCATCAATGTACAATATACAGTTTATTCTTGATAGCCTTGTGATATTTGGTTCAACTATGTCTGGTTATTTAGGTAACTGCTATATCCATTTTTTAGGGGTTTGTTCTTTTGTTCATATTAGCAATTGAACATACATTGTGACTAAATATTTAAAGCTGACACGATTTGTTTGGTAGAGATTGACATTGAAGAGTGATTAAAAGTTAAGGAGTGGTGATGAAACAAAAGTTATGATATGATGTTACGCTGAAACTCAAGTAATTAAAAAAAAAAAAAAAAAAAAAACACTTAAAAGCACTCATGTAATGGTTAATCAATACTTTCCCAATATAAGTTCTAAATCACCATCTTCAATTCTTTCATAAACAATCATTTATATTATAAAAAATTAAGCCATTAAATTCTACTATATTTTATTTTTTAATAGTTTTCAACTGTTCATCCCGTCGCAATGAACACGACATAGAGAAAGCATGAACTTGCACGCCCTGACGCGGTGAGGATAAAGAGCTTTCCAATGATGTTAGAGATACAAGAAAACTTCGTCCGTATTTTAAAAATTTCAGAACCTCCGCATCCGATAATCTTCAAGATTCTCGTCAAACTCGAGTAGAGTTGAGCAAGAAAGCCTGAGATTTCTTTCATAATAATACCCTTACCATAGAGCATCAGCCGAGAAGATCATAACTCCATTAACATCAAACCCTTTTGCCTCCAACAATCTCAAAGCCTCAAAGAACCCATCTCCTGAATCCCTCCCCGTTCACCTCATAGCTCGGCAACAGTTTGGCCCTATCAAATGCTCAGCCCGCAGCGCAAACGTCTTCAAGAACCCTCCGGATTCTTGACCTTGTCGGTGTAGAACTGGTAGTTGACGTAGTCGATTACGGCATCATATTTGTTAAAGAGTCGACGTAGTGCGGAACGGTGGTGTGAAATGGGGCGATTGTGGCACGGAAATCACGGATGGGTTCTTCAAGAGGGTGATGAGTCGCCGATGCAGTAGGCGAAGGATGATATGTTTTTTTGGGGAAGTTTCATAGTCGATGCGATGCCATCAAGATGGTATGTCTTTGTTATGGATTTGAGGGATGAAATGCATTTGAAATCCCGGTCTGGATCCTTTGGGTTGTACCTGTTGCATGTAAATAATAGGTAAGGTTAGTAGGTTCGATAATAATGTCTATATAAAGTATTATTTATCTAATTATTAATCTATTAATTTTAATTTAACTATTTATCCACGTGTCCCTTTTCCTACTCCAAATCGCGTGAAATCAGTTGAAAGATAGGAGCGTGACATAAAGCCGGATTAATCCTGATATTCACACCAACCTAGGATTTACTGATGATTACTTGCGTTACCTCACTATAGAAAGAGGAAGACCCATTCATTAGGGGGATTCAACTATTTTACACTGGAGATTAGCTCTCTCTCTCTGTCTTTGTATTTACTTTTCTTTACCAATCATTTGTAAGTCAGTCGCTGTTGCGACCGACCCATTATATTAATAAAATCAGTGGAGTAGGACTTGCGACTTAGCATCTGAACCACTTTAAAATGCTCTCATTGCATTTACTCTCACATTTTACCATAATCACGTGTGTCTCGACCAATCAATGTTATGCACGTGTAATAGTTGGTGCCAAAAATGGCACATCAACAATATGTATAAAAGAAAATATTTTAGTATTCCGAGTTAATATTCAACTTACCAACGAAGGACTTGTCGCCGAGGTCCAACCGAGAGGCTAGCAAGGGCTTTTGACATTGGGGTGGCGGGATTTGATAGCTGCGACAGATTTCGGCTGGGAGGTGTCGATCCAGTAGGGCGAGAACTTGCCGTTCTTGTAGTGCCGTAAGGGTCAGCATCCACGGCGAAACTTAGAATGAAATGGAAACAATGCCATTACTAATTGGAACTCCATCAAATGTTACTTCAACTCGGTGGCTCCAATGTATTCCATCATCACTTCCCATCTTATCATTAAAAAAAAAAAAAAAAAAAAAAAAAAAAAATTATTTAACTAAGTAATGTGTTTAATGAGACTCAAATTATATTAGTTCTAATTCGGTAGTAAAGACAACTCCTAATAGTCAAACATAGAGAGGTTATCTTTTATAAAAAAAATAAATTTGTTATAACCAATCTAAAAATTCCAAAAACATTTAAAAAAAAAACTGGAAGAATCTATATCAAAAACTTAACAAAATATTAAGTAAAAAGTTAATCCTACATGATTTGATACAGAATTTAAATACAATTTTTCATTTTGAAAAAGTTGAAGATACAATAAACTTCATAAAAATATATTATAAAAGGATTTAAATGTTGTACAAAAAATTTGGGAGTGCAATCCTCAAAATTAAAAGAAAATAGAAAAGAAATTTTTAAATATCTATCAAACGCAATTTTTAAATACTTACCAAAACAAGCCATAGGAGAGTGCGAGAACTGCTGCAACAAAGAGAAAGAAATTCCGAAGCTTCATCATCTTAGTTTCTTCTTCATTGTAAGACTCAAATGTTGAATGTTGATTTATTATATATAATTGATTTATTAATTTATGAGTAAAAGGTAAACCAAGCCGGCCAAAATTAATTTGTTGTTAACTGATTACTATGCTTTTGTGATGAGTAGACGCATTTTGTGACAATTTCAAAGTTTATTGGGTGGTTTAATTTGGACGACGAAATGAGCATCATTTTAGCGCCTATGGCTAGCTTGAAGCTTCAGGCGGAGATTTTGGTGGGCGGGGATGCGGCGTGTGGCTAATGGGTGCAAATGAATGGTGACAATGGCAGTCTTGGAGAATTTGCCGATTCGAGAAATTTTAATTTTAACATTTAATCTTACACAAACCCTAATCCTAAATTTTCATAACCTAATCCCCTAATTTTGTAATCATTGAAACATTTTATTTTATTTTAAATGTTTGTTTGTTTGATGAAAAATATAATACTAAAATTATGAAACATATAATGAGATAAATCTAAATATGAAGAAGAGAAAATAAGTTGAAATTTGGAAATTGGGGGAATAAAAGTGTAAAAAACAAATGATGTAAAACATAAAAACCTAATTAAGCTTGAAATTGAGGAAAATAAACCTAATTAAGTTTAGAGGGTTATTTTTGGTATTAAATATGGTTTGAAGAGAATATTTTTAATTATAGAAGAGGTGTACTTAGTTGTGGGGTTGAAGATCAATTAAATGACAGTTAAAAATCACTTCCTCTTTTAAAATTTAAATCATTATGTGTGCCTCTAGGAATTGAGACCCGATTTAGGTTTTGTAACTAAACTAGTAGCATTTGGGCTTAACCCGGCCCATTTCATCACTCCAAATTACAATCATAAACCAAACTACGAAGGGCGATTGAAAGCCCCTAAAGCTCCTGAATTTTTATAAAATTACAAATAACTTTATAGATCTTAGAAAGTAATATCGATATTTAAAAAAAAAAAAAATTAAAATTATAAAACATTTATTGCATCCCACGCTACCATTCACCACCATTGTGTTTTATCAAATCTTTGGCATCATTAACTGTTGATCGTATTTATCCATCAACGATGATAATTAATAAATAACATTGAAAAACATTATACATATGTGTATTAAAACATTATATGTATGCGTATTAAAAGAAGTTATCAAATCATAACGACTAACGAGAAGATAAAATGTATTGTTGTCATCATCAAACTTGTTATCGACCCATTTGAGTAATGATATAGCATTTATCTCTAATTCGTTGGATGACCTTTAATATGTTTCTTAGATGGAATTGAGTGAGTTAAGATCAAAGACTAATGCTTCAACCACCTTTTTTCGGGTATGGTAATTGGTGGGCGGTGGGCGGTGGCCAATGACCACCCTTTGCCTTTGTTACAACTTGAATTCAAGATCCTTTTGTGTTTTAACTCCTTAATTCATCACTCCATCGACCTCAAGAAATACACGAAAGATAAAACACAATAATTAGAAAGAGACAACTCTCTATCATGGTTTGTTTCCAAAAAGTACAATATGGAACTTAGGACAAGTTACTCCAAAACATAATATTCTCCAATTAATGGAGCTGGGCCGAATGAAGGATGTTTGTTTTGTTTAGTGAATCGTATCAGCCTTCCTAACATGTATCTGATGTCTTCTAGTCTTCTAGTTTTCAATATTTATTTTTTTAGATTACATATGCACTGTCCTTTTAAGGGTGATAATGTTATTTCATTTATTTGTTAGTTAGAACTTAGAAGGGGACAGCCGGAGGAGGTATTTGTTATTTTTGAAAACTTCAGATACATTTATTTATTTCAACTCCATCTCCCGAATTTTTGGTCATGAGAGAGTGATGCAAGAGATCTCGGCGTTGGATTTGATTTTGAGATGGTAAATCATCGGGGAACCTCTCACCATTACAATTCCCGAAGTTCTTCCTCTTCTTCAACGCTCAAATTTCTCTCAAAAAAACCATCTTTTTTCACCATCACTCTTTACTTTCTCATCCTTCTCTTTGCTTCTTCGATACTCATTTTTCTTGTCAGCACTAGAAACTTATTGAATGATGGCCATGATTATGATGAAAAAAAGAATCTTTTTACACAACATTCTCAGTCTCAGTCTCGGTCTGAATCTCAGTCTCAGTCTCGGTCTGAATCTCAGTCTCAGTCTTTGCAGGTAAAAGTTGTGCTGTTTTTTATTGTGGGTAGTTAATTTTTTCGCCTGGAAATGTGTTTTCTGATGGGATATGCGAAGTTTGTGTTATGGGAATTGGATTATTGGGTTCAAATCTCTGTCATTGCTGGTAAATTTTGCTTCTTGTGCTGTTTCTGCTTGTGGGTAGTCATTCTTTAGCCTGGAAATGTTGAGTTTGTGTTGTTTTAATGGTGGGTTTGTGTTATAAATAGTTTAGATTCGCTAAGTTTGTGTTTTGGGAACTTGGTTGTTTTCTTTACTTTGAGTTGTTCATTGTGTGGAGAAGAAGAAAGTAACTTTGATTCATGACATGATTCCATATTGAGACACAGGGATCAGCTAGGATCTTGTAGAACACATATGCAATCATTATAGTTCTTGAGTAGAAGATATTCCATTTGGATTGAATTAAATTGAAGAGTATTAAATTTACTGTGAGTGTCCAGTGCTAGACACATTGACTTCTAAATTTATTATTACATGTTCAAGCATTTGGCATGGCCTTAAAATTCTAAATTTGGATTGAAGCATTGTCATTGTTATTTGAACTTTAATTAACTATGTTAAGCAAAAAAAGGAAAGGCAGTTCTTGGGAGCATTCATGCCATAAATCTAGTGTGTGGGATATACTTTGTGAATTCCAACATCAATGAGCTTTTATGTGTTTAGGTGTAGCACGTTCTTGCATCATGGTACTTTCGGTCCTGCTATTTGACTAGGCTGTCTCAAAATATGATGCATTTTCTTTTAAGGGTAATGGGTTTCTCTGCTTGCAATTTTGCAGATACCAGATGACCAACTTTGGAATTCTCCTTTTAGCTATGGTTTACACTCATGTGTCAAGCCTACCAGTAAATACAAAGGTAAAAGTTACATGCATCAATATTTGTACTCTTTCTTTTGCTATGTGGTATGGACAATTGTCCCTGAAACCCAGTGGTGAAGATTTCACTTCTGTTGGCGCACTGATTACCTTGAATTGTATTTGGTTACAGTCAATAGTCTTTGTCATTATTATAAGTTTATATTCTTATCATCAACTTCATGGTAATTTGTTAATGCAGTCGTGTGTCACCTTATTGTAGAGCATACTCTTGCATCTTATTTGTCAAGTTTTATTACTCAGGCTGATTCTCTCCTCTCAAACAAACAAGCAAACATTACCATCAACCTCACCTACCCACATCCTCACTTTCTTACTCTGTCATTTTCTTTTACTCTTTTTAATATTGTCTCTCCTCTTAATTCTGCTTTGCAATGCCAGCTTCCCAAGGATCAGACCGCTACATTACAGTGAAAAGCAATGGAGGATTAAATCAGATGCGGACCGGTGTAAGTTGACTGACACCTGTATTTCCTTTATTTTTATGGGTTATCTAAATTAATTTTTCTGATTCCATTCGTAGATATATGCTTCAATTATAGTTTTAGTTTAACTAGAGCGCCCACAAAAAAGAAAAATAAAAAGAAAAGAAACAATTGTCAACAATATTTACTCTTTCTCATAGATCAGATCATTTTTCTAGACCAATAATATATAATCAGTCCTTTTTCCCCGCTTATTTGGATAATTTTCATGATAAGATATATGATGCATGACTCATAAGGTCAACTTTATGATTAACTGTTCAATCATCCTTTCCCCTATTCTTCTGTTAATTTGACTTCAACAACAATGCTTTTCTGATAGATATCGGACATGGTGGCTGTTGCACACATAATGAATGCAACACTAGTTATTCCTCAACTGGATAGACGCTCATTCTGGCAAGACTCAAGGTATTCTTAAGAACTTATATTATATGTTAGAAGTGTTTTAAATAAGTCATTTGCGGGTACTTTTTAATTTTTTTTTTTTTTCAGTAAAAGTGTCTTATGTTATGAATCATATATACAGTAAGTTTTCAGATATATTTGATGAGCTCCATTTCATCAAAGCGTTGCAAGGAGACGTGAGGATTGTCAGGGAGCTCCCAAAAGAACTGGAGTCTGTCCCTCGGGCCCGGAAACACTTTACCTCCTGGTCTGGCATTGGTTATTATCAAGAAATGACACAGTTATGGAAGGACTATCAGGTATGTGCAGTTTTTTGTGGCTACCTTTCCAATGTGAACTACTGCATCTTGGTTCTGGAATGAGAGCCTTCTTTTGTATGAGAGGTTTTTGCAACTGAGCTAGTTTTTACTGATGTTAAAATTTGTTGATTAGTTATTATTGCTTAATCTGTTTGTGGGATAACGTAGGAGCCTGTTGCCTCTTAGAGTTGACCATACTTTATATTGAATGTATAACCTCCAACAAGGAAAATATCATTCAACCAGCAAACTGCTTTGGGAACCAAGAGAGCCAGAATAAATTAGTTTAAATGGTATTTACCACTAAGATGAATTCTATTGGTTCAGGTAAACGTTATCAGGGGGCATTTGATATTTGCTGTCATGATGAGATCCAATTAGATTTTGTTAAGCTGATCTACGGGTCACCAGTTTTAAATCCCTAGGGTGTGCATTTGGAAGTCATATTCAAAAGGGTTTGGGATGGACCTGATATTGAATTCAAAAAACTATTTTTTACAAACCTCATTTCCTGCATAATTTTTTTTTTTTTTTTTTTTTTTTAATGACATGCAATTTTTCTTTTTGTTTCAGTTTTCTCATTTTGAGAGTTTCTGCATAAATTCTACCTCGCTATTTTAACCATCAAAGATTCTGTTGTTTCTTTTATGCTAATTTTGAAACTCTTAATTCACTTTATTACTTGTAACAATCCGTATATAAATTTACTAAGTTCATTATTCTTAGTTTGTTCAATAACATTAAAGCATATTTCCCTAGAACTTTTATACAGAATTATTTAAGACTTAGAAGGCTTAGTCTTGCCTTCAACTTTTAAAACACAGCTAATTTTTTTTACGAATCTTGTGCTATTTGAGCCTGACCTTTTGTTCTTGGCCCTTATTTGATTTTTGAGACGTCTGAACTCTATAATGGCTTATCAAGTCAACTTGTGCAGGTAATTCATGTTGCAAAATCAGATTCACGAGTTGCGAACAATGATCTACCTCTTGATATACAACGGTTGAGATGCCGTGCTCTGTATCATGCTCTCCGCTTCTCTCCGCCGATTGAAATCCTAGGAAAGGTTTGAATTTGCAGCTCTAGCTATTGAGAAATATTTATTTCTATCTGTCATGGACATTATTGAAGCCCAAAATATTTTAGGGCCTGATAGATCTACAACCAGGATACAGTAAATACGTTAATTTCCTTTTGAAAAACAATGGATAAAAAAAATCTTAAAGAAAAGGTGTTTGATTGATTCTCAGAAACAGTGTTTTCATACAAATCAGAGAATTCTCTTAAAATCTAAAAATCAATTGAAGTTGTTTAGCTAGTTTCTATGAGATGATTTATATCTGAAAACTTGTATTATACAATAATTGTTGAAATTCACTTTCGATTGCAGACTGAGCATGCTTTAAAAGATTAAAATTGAGATTTTCAAAGTTTTGAGAGATATAAGATTTTTGAATGTTACAAATGACGGTCAGAATCTCTGAAATCATTTAAAGTATAAACCTTGCAAGAAGTCCTTGTAATATGGTAGCATGCAATATGCATAATCCCAGATGTTCTATTTAGCATCATTGCATTTAAGAGGTCTCCTATGGGGCTTCCTGTTAAATTAGGTTCTGAGAATGCATGACGCTGACACCACAGAAGCTGGTGGAACGGCTGAGATCACGTGGAGGAAGATACATAGCTCTTCATCTTAGATATGAGAAAGACATGCTATCTTTTACTGGTTGTACTTACGGTCTGACTGATGCAGAATCTGAAGAGCTGAGAATAATGAGGTGAGAAAATATGGATTTACGCATATGCATCTATGTCATATAGTTCCAAGTGCATAAATACAAACATAAATCTTTCACATGTTGGATGATTGCCTCTTCCATGAATATTGGTTTGTAGTTCTCTTCAAGCATGACGTTTTAGACATAAATACGACATCAAGTCTGAGGTATTGTAACATCTTCTAAATTAAGCTTTTGTTGTGCCAATCATTGGTTCTTGATGAAACTGCTATAAAATCCAAGCTCAGTATTCCTTTCACATATGCTCAAGACATTAGAAAGATTATTTTTTCATAAACTTAATATTTTGGAACAGTGAATTTAAATTCCAGTGTTGAGCTTACACACACTTTGGAGTAGAGAGTTGTTTGGTTTATTTATTTAATTGGATCAGTTATGGCTGGTATGAAAATGCGACTTATAATATCCTCGCATTTGAATCAAGCATTTTTTAGGGGTGTGTGCTGGTTTAATCATGTTGTCAGTATCTTGTGTTTCAAGTTATTGTATTGCCTTTCTAGGGAGAACACGAACCATTGGAAGGTCAAAGTTATAAACTCAACGGAACAGAGAATGTCAGGCTTGTGTCCTTTAACTCCTAAGGAGGTGGGGATATTTCTTCAAGCTCTTGGTTTTCCGGCCTCAACGTTAATTTATATTGCTGCTGGAGAAATCTATGGTGGTAATACTCACCTTTCAGAACTCATGTCCCACTTTCCAAACCTTGTTTTTAAGGTATGTCATTCCTTTTTTGGATTAAGTGTGTTACCAAAATAGTGAACCGTGAGCACAGTTACAGATTGATGGCTGGATTTTTCAGGAGAATTTGGCAACTAAGGAAGAGTTGAAAGCATTTACTAATCATGCATCTCAGTCTGCCGCTCTTGATTACATAATTTCCATAGAGAGTGATGTGTTCATCCCAACACATTCAGGTAACATGGCAAGAGCTGTTGAGGGACACCGCAGATTCTTAGGTCACCGCAAGACGATCACCCCAGACAGGTATTAAATCAGTCAATCTTCAGGGGCTGTTGCGTTTGGCTGTTAATCTTAACTATACTTCCATGGAACTCATTTATGTGGATCTGTTCTCTGCATGCTTCAAGAACGATTGCCTGATAGAAATAATTTCCTTCAATGATACAAATCATCTCAACCATATTCTCTTATTACAAGTGATAAACGACTTTAATTATAATTTTTCAGGTTACTAAAAATATGGAAACATATATTTCAGTACGTAAAGTATTCCCTTTTGCATTCTCCAGCTCCTTGAGTAATTTCTTTTCTCATTTTTTTCAGGAAAGGACTTGTTAAACTTTTTGATAGGCTGGAAAGCAGAAAGCTTAGAGAAGGGCCATCTTTCCTGCATCTCGTGCAGGAGATGCACAAGAACTGGTAACTTTGTTTATAACTTTCTATATACTTTTATTTTATTTTTGAAGAAATACTCTACAGAATCAAAATAACTGCTGTTATTTAGATGAAATATAATTGCACAAGTTGGTTCTGCTGATACACAGAAAATGAATAGTATCGGTTTTCCTAATGTTAATTTGCTTGATGAAAGAATTTAACTTTTAACAATATTTCAGGAATAACCAGACTTATCTTGTTCTATTTAAATATCACAGGCAAGGGGCTCCAAGGAAAAGGAGAGGTCCATTGCCAGGAATCAAAGGTCGAGCACGTTTCAGGACAGAAGAATCCTTTTACGAAAATCCATACCCAGAATGCATATGTGGTCCAAAGGCACACATAGAGCAAGATAAGTCTATCTGAATTTCAGAGTTTGGCTTTAGAAATTCATTTCAAGTAAATAGATTGGTACCCCAAGATAAGTTTGAATTTCAGACATTATTTCGAGTAAATAGAATGGTACCCCAAGATAAGTTTGAATTTCAGACATTATTTCGAGTAAATAGAATGGTACCCCAAATGGCAACAATATCAAGCCCTGGCTGTAATGGTATTAGATTAGATTTTTAGATTTATTTCCGGACTAGAAACTGCGTAAATGGCAGATAACCTTATTTCTGTGGTTGTCATGCACATTTTCGCTTCCTTTTTTTTATAAGTTTTGTTTTCTGAAAACATTTTACAATATGTTTTCTTATTTCTTCTGATTTTTTGTCACACTCTTTGGGATCCTAAGATTGTAGCATGAAATTGCAGAACCTCGGGACGGTTTATAATAAAAAACTTGTATACCTCTATAGATGAGAATGAAAGTAATTCTGATTTCTTTTTTTCATAATAGCATCGGGGTGGATAAAGCTCTCTCTATAAATGTTATGAGTTTTCAACTTTGTGAGAGTGAATGAAAACATCTCATACATAAAATGTTGAAGTCTTTCTCAAAACATTGAAGCTCAAAAGCATTTTTCAAACATTAAATGACTCTAGAAATCAATTTGACTCATGGGAACCCTCCTGGTTAAAGATAAGAATTATTGTTTTATGTTTCCTAAAGATTGTCAAGAAAAAAGTAGTAGGGTTTGGTGTGGTTTAAGATTCGAACTCGATGTGCATAAGGAGGTCGGTTGATCTTTAGATTATTGAACAGTTTCAAACTCAATTGACAAATTGTGGTCATAAATCATTACTTTAAAAAAAAATGTATTTTCATTTATTTTTTTTCTCTCTCGATCTTGAAAGATTGCAATGCACATATCATATACTCGGTAGAAAAAGTGAAAGAAGAGAAAAATAATGAAAAATTCCATTCTCTACTTTAATATTAATCATAAAGAAAAGTTAAACTATAAGAAACCCAAAAATAATGAAAAATTCAATTCTCTACTTTAATATTAGTCATAAAGAAAAGTTAAACTATAAGAAACCCATTTCAACTCGATAATAAAGATACTTCCGAATTTTAGAAATACAAAGTTTACTTTTTGTTTTATTATTTAAAAAAATTAGAGCACATAACCTTCATTTTTCCTATTGGCATCTCAATCATATTTTAAAATTAATTAGATAATTTATCTTAATATATAGAGTAATGCTACGAACACTGAAATTTTACACCAAATTTTTGTACCGAAGGATATGACAACCAGTTAAACGCGATTGCGTTGAAGTCTTTCGTGAATGAACGGTAGTCCAACATTTATGAATGTCCGCCCATATTTAATGGACTCCCGTTCATATTATAAGGACGAGTGTCAATTTACTATGGACAAACGTCCATATAAGATGGATGTCTGTTCATTGTTTGATTTAAAAAAATTTACAACATTTGAGTCTCAATCCAAGAAGTAAATGTTGCAATTTTCATTAAATTTTTGTCCATATTCAAAGTAATTGGACAAGTGTCGTAAGAATAAGACACTAACTCAATTATGATTCATTAAATAAATTTAAAATTTTTCAATATTAAAAGATGGACGTATGGACGGTCGTCCTCATAAGAGGACGGGCGTCCATTAATAATTCTAGGTGGACGATCGTCCACCTAGAATGAACGTCTGTTCATATTATATGAACAGGAGTCCATTTGAAATGAATGACCTTCCAATAATAATGATTTACGGAATATTTGTTAACGTGATACGTGGTTCGTCTGATTCAGTAGACATGTCATTCAGTGTAAAAATTTGGTGTAAAATGTCGATGTTTATAGCATTTTTCTAATATATATTTTAATTTTCTTATAATAATTTTCTTCCTAGCGTCTTCATCTTGCTATACAAATTTAAAATAAATAAAAATAGGATCGGGTATGGGGGTACACAAATGAATGTACAAGAAGCTGTTAATCTATCTCTCCCATAAAACGCAGCGTTTTCATCCGTTTGTCTCCAAAACCCACAAAAACCTCCTGACCGCTTCTGCTTGGATAAAATCCTCTATTTCTCTCCACTTTCCCGCACAAGAAAGTGAGAGAAAATATCCGAGAAAATTAATTTTATCAGTTATATGACAATTACAAGAACAAAAACAAAGAAATGCAGTCTCAGTTCTCGAAACCAATCGATTCAATTAATCTCCGTAAACACTTCCCCTCCTCTCATCTTCATAAACACGTTTTCAGAACCAAATTAGCCTCCAAAAAGACCACCTTTCTTACAATTAAGCGCAACAAACTCACTATTACTGCATGTAAAGCTTCGAATTCTTCTAATTCAGTTGCGTCCACGTTATCCAGAAGCTCGGAGGAAGATGCCGAGTCCAGTCAGCTATTCGAGGTTCTCATCTTTGGTTTTAATGTTTTTAAGCTATTCTTTTCTAAAATTTGTTGCCGGAAACTGTACCAGTGCCGGTAAAGTTACTGGTAGCTTGTTGATTATGCGCATTTAGCCAGAAATGGATGTTTATTGTTACTCGTACCATTTTGGAGGTTTTCATATATATATTTTTTTTTACGCTATTCTTCTTTCAAATTTGTTGCCGGGAACCGGACCAGTACTAGTAACGTTACCAGTAGCTTGTTGATTATGCGCATTTAGCTAGAAATGAATGTTTATTGTTACTCATACCGTGCTGGAGGTTTACTGAGAGATGTTTTTCCGGTAAGTTACTGGAGTAAAACTTGTGATGGTTAAAAGTTGAAGGCAATTACACGTGTCACATGTATAGCTAGGGACTGTTATTAGCAATCCTCGGTTTTAGGAAGAATGGTGAAATATATTGAGAATAAGTTTAGATTGTTGAAATTTGTTGTTCTTTTACCATATGTTTGGTGGTATATGGATGTTTAATCTGTTTTTTTATTTTTTATTTTTTAAATTTTGTAAAATTCGATGTGCTCCGTAAGTTTTCAGAAGTTGAAGGAAGCCGAGAGGCAGCGGATTAGTAAGTTGGAGGAACTGGATAGGAAGGCCAATGTGCAGTTAGAGAGGCAGCTTGTGATGGCTTCTGGTTGGAGCAGGGCGTTATTAGGTATGCGTGGAAAGCTGAAGGGAACAGAGTGGGATCCTGAGAACTCACATAGGATTAACTTCAGCGATTTTTTGAAACTTCTTGACTCCAATAATGTACAATTTATGGAGTACTCAAACTACGGTCAGACTGTATCAGGTAAGAGTTTATTCTTGATAGTTTTTGTATATTTGGTTCAATTATGCTTTTGGTTATTTATGGTTAACTGCGCTATCTATTTTTATGGGGTTTGTTCTTTTGTTCCTAGCATATTGTATATAGCAATTGAACAATCTACCTTATGTGACTAAATATGTAAAGCTCTATATGATTTGTTTGGTTGAGATTGGCATTGAAGAGTGATTAAAAGTTAAGGAGGTCGTGATGGAACAAAAGCCATGATGGTAAAAAGCATCTCTAAAGCATCCACATGGTGGTTAAGTAGTTGAATGCGTATATTTTAAATGTGTGTATATGGTTGAATTTTGTTTGTGGCTTTATAATCAGCTGTCTGAGTTCTATGCTGAAGTGAAATGCCAAGGGCAACCAGAATCATGACTGGCATAAAACTTAGATTAACTTAGCAGTTGGTTGTCTACTTGTAGCACTTGAGTCATCAAGTCTTGTGTTCAAACTTGATCATGTTTCATGGAGAGTTTTGGCGAAAATTTTAACTAGCATGCAGGGGCATCTCCATTTGTTGGTCCCATCAATCTTAATCTGTTATAGGAAGTGGATTTGTCTACGTTAAGCCTGGACTGCCACATAGAGTTGCATAGGTTAGTTCAGGAGTGGCTTTACTAATTTCATTGATGAAATTGAATTTGAAAGATGTTGAACTGGGCGACTGCATTTATGGTTTATCTTTTGATTTGCAGATGTAGTTGAACAAAACCATGTAACAGAAAATGCAAGAAACAGTGTCCTTAAAACAGTATGAATTATAGCACTGGACTTACTAAGAAAAAGCAGATGAATTTATTATCCATCCTTCAAGTGGATTCTGATGTGCTTACTTTAGTAAGTTCTGTGAAATGGCTTAAATTAAATGTCACCTTCGAATTGCATTTAATTAGTGAAAGTTTAGGGCCTGATCTGAAACCAATATATTTTCTCAAGTCGTGAAAATTCAATGCTTTAGATCCATTTGCTTTTCAATAAACATCTCTGAATATTTCAACTAAAATTTGATGTCATAATGCAGTGATTCTGCCATACTACAAGGATGAAAACATGAAAGGAGAAGAGGGGAACCCAGAGAAGGAAATTATTTATCGGCGCCATGTGGTGGACCGTATGCCCATTGATTCTTGGAATGATATTTGGAAAAAGCTGCACCACCAATTAGTAAACGTTGATGTTCTCAATGTGGACCCTGTACGTGCAGAAGTCTACTCCACGTTTGCAACTGCAGTCATATGGTCCATGCGACTTGCCCTTGCTGTTGGAATATATGTATGGCTTGACAATATGATGAGACCAATTTATGCAAAGTTAATACCTTGTGATTTGGGAACTCCAACCAAAAAAATTAGGGAGCCGCTTAAGCGCCGTGCTCTCGGATCTTTAGGGAAGAGCAGGTTAGTGAATTTTTTTTTTAGTTTCTGGATACTTGTTCTTATTCTATCTTTTATTTATTAACTGGTTGGTCTCAATTCATTTTGCATGTGGTTGCTGTCAATTTCAAGTAGGAAATACTTTGCTAACTGTGGGCTATACAGCATGATAATTTCAATTCCTTGCTACCTTGATATCAAAACATGATGCATTGTGCAGCTGTGGATTTGCTGTAGAGAGAAACTCTGAAAGCTGATTCCTTTAGGGCTTAGGCATTACCATGTAGAGTAAATTTCATGACATAATGTTTATGATTTTGGTCATAAGACTGGCTTGATGCCTAAGATGCGCTTTTGGTCATATCCGGGCATCTGTACCTATTTGTCCTACATCATTATGTTTTCTCAGTGAGAATTACATGTGTTGTTTGCATCTCATTTGAGTTTGATCATATCTTCCATTTGTCTTGTGAAAGTCTTCTCACGTGCAGTGCAATTGATATCTTGTTATATTTTCTGGAATAATTTTATCCAAAGTCTTTAAACTTTCATATCAAAAAAAAAAAAAAAAAAAAAAAAAAAAAAAAATTGGACTTTCATGTAAAAAAGAAGAAGATAAGAAGCTTTTAAAGTTTAAATCTGAGTTGAGAGTTCTGATAAAATGGTTTGGGGTTGCATTATCTTGTTTTGTTAGCTCTTGCAGTTGCATAATGCCAACTTTAGATTTTTTTGTTGTCAAGATAGCAGGAGGAGCAAATTCAGCTAACACTGTTCTTGGGATCTAATTTTTGCTTTCTTTCCTCCAGGGCAAAGTTTATATCAGCAGAGGAAACTACTGGTGTTACCTTTGATGATTTTGCTGGTCAGGAGTATATAAAGAGGGAACTACAAGAAATTGTACGGATTTTAAAGAATGATGAAGAGTTCCAGAACAAAGGTATTTATTGCCCAAAAGGTGTCCTTCTCCATGGGCCTCCTGGAACTGGTAAAACACTGCTGGCTAAAGCTATTGCTGGTGAAGCAGGGGTACCTTTTTTCGCTGCCAATGGTACTGATTTTGTGGAGGTGGGAGTTGATTCTCTTTGAAATATAAACAATATATATATATATATATATATATGAATGGATAAGTGGCATTAAAAGATAAAATGCTTCTTGATGTCAAATAGTCTCTTGGCACTAGAAATCAGCACATTGATCCTTCGTATTACTTGAAAACCCTGAGTTATCTATCCCTTAAGCCCATCTATATCAAACTTACTTCCTTGCTGATGCAAGATGGTGTCTAGAAACAAAGATATCAAGGCTGTAATTCTCAGTTTCAACTTCTTGCTAAAATGCTATGAGCTTCTTTTAGATCTGTAGAAATTTGATCTTCTTTTGGAACTGTAGAAATTTGAATAAATCTGGCTAATGGATTTTCTCTTTCCAGATGTTTGTGGGTGTGGCAGCATCACGTGTAAAAGATCTTTTTTCTAGTGCCAGATCATTCGCACCTTCCATAATTTTCATTGATGAGATTGATGCAATTGGTAGCAAGCGTGGTGGACCTGATATTGGTGGGGTAAGATGCATGTCATATTTCTTGCTTCATCTGAAAAACAACTTTTGATTCTTAACCATCTCCTTTGTTCCCACAAAAAATAAAATACGATTCAGCACTCTTTCTTGCATTTTCTCCTTTCCATAGTTTGCAAACCTTGCCGTTAATTGATCAAATGGTTAGTTCTATTAGAGCCTGATTATTCAGGTTGCATTCAAATTGCAAATGGTAATTTAAGGGAAAAAAAAAAAGAAGGTATGGGTTCTTGTATCATTGCATATATAGTCAGTATCATTGATGGTACCATTTTGTGTTTGAGTTTCAGCGTGGGTCTCCAAATTACTTATTCAGACCAAAGCAGGCATGAGCATTTGCTCTATTATTTTCAATGAAGATGTTGACTTTTAACTATCATGAGACTTTAATGCAAGCTAAAATGATTAATTTTTTTAGATGCTACATTGGATTGTCTTGTATGTTATGGATTGTGCTTATGATTTCTTCGTATAGGGTGGTGCAGAAAGGGAACAAGGCCTGCTTCAGATATTGACTGAGATGGATGGGTTTAAAGTTTCTACATCACAGGTATGCTTTTACATATTCCTTCAGATTGAAGGCCTTTTTTGATTTTATGTCCCATTTTTTTTTTCTTTGGCCTTCTAATTTCATCTGTAAACTTGTGTTGTTAGGTGTTAGTTATTGGTGCAACCAATAGACTGGATATCCTTGATCCTGCTCTACTGAGAAAGGGTCGTTTTGACAAGATTGTAAGGGTTGGTTTGCCATCTAAAGATGGTAGATTTGCCATATTGAAGGTATTTTGCTTAATGCTTACTTTTGGCTTTAGTGAATGCTAGGTTTCACCTGCTTGCACTTTATTTGTTATAAAATTTATTTTTGTTGGTAATAGGTGCATGCTAGAAATAAATTTTTTCGTTCAGAGGAGGAAAAAGATGCTCTATTGCAAGAAATTGCTGAGCAAACAGAAGATTTTACTGGGGCAGAGCTGCAAAACATACTGTAAGCAGTGCTTCATAGTGACTTTTGTAACTCAACATCCAGAGCGAGAGACTGATCATTGTTTAATCTGACTGCCAGGAATGAAGCTGGGATTTTGACTGCTAGGAAGGATTTAGACTACATTGGACGGGAAGAGCTTTTAGAAGCTTTGAAACGGGTTAGTGTTAAATTTCTTGTATTATGTGAGACAAAACTGTCTCGTTGAAAATGTTGAACACTGATTTTCGCTCTTCATTTTTTTCATCGTTTTAGCAAAAGGGCACCTTTGAAACTGGTCAAGAAGACAGTACGGATATTCCGGAAGAATTGAAATTGAGATTGGCTTATAGAGAATCAAGTGTAGCCATTCTTGCGTGCTACTTTCCAGAACCCTACCACCCTTTTGCAGAGGTAAGTAAAATTATATATCAGCAGTGCCATTGTTTCATGACTACTTTAAGTTCTTTTGGCATTTTTACCCGTGTTAACTATATTTATATTTGTCTTTCACAGACAGATATAAAATCCATTCGTAGCCAGCCAAACATGCGTTATATAGAAACTTCTGGCAAAGTTTTCTCAAAAAAATCAGATTATTTGAATGCTATAGTCCGCGCATGTGCTCGTAAGTTGAGGAACTCCTTTTTTCGTCTTCTATAACATTTGTCACTAGTGCAATTTATGCGGGTTTTGCTCTCTAGTTGATGTTTTGGTCGTCAGAAGATTCCATCCTTTGAATTGTTTACAAGTACTTGTATGTAGAAATGATTAACAAATTGACTAATATACAGCCTACATTTGGATGAATATCTATGCAACCTACAAACAGAGTCTTTAAGCCATTGGTCTTTCATATAGGAAAGATTGACTAAAGCAATGTCTCATTAACACAAACTTCTTTTAAGGTTTATTTTTTCGATGAGTGATGTATTTTTTATATTTGAAATTAATCTTGATTGATGTGGAGTAAATTTGTTTTCTATCTGCTTATTTATATTGTTTTTATTTAATTAATAAGTTAATATGACTCATTGACCTCTAATTTGTAGCTAGAGTAATTGAGGAGGAGATGTTTGGGGTTGATAACATGTGTTGGATCTCTGCAAAGGCTACGCTAGAAGCTTCACGGCTTGCAGAATTTTTGATTTTGCAAACTGGGATGACAGCATTTGGAAAGGCATACTATAGGAATCAAAGTGATCTTGTGCCAAATGTGCGTCTTTTTGATGTGTTAAACTTCTAGCTATCCTGGTATTAAGTTCAATAAAAAGCTCATCTCAATAACACTGTTGTATCAATAGTTTTGAATGTTTGTAACAGCTTGCAGCCAAACTTGAAGCTCTTCGAGATGAATACATGCGTTTTGCTGTGGAAAAATGTGCATCTGTCCTGAGAGAATATCATTCAGCTGTAGAGACAATTACAGGTCATATTGATTGATTGACTTATTTGATTAACTTTTTCAATAAACTAAGCCATTCTCATCATGCAATTGTAAGGTGAAGTTGTCAGTTTACAAACTATTACTTCATGAGCAAAGTGTTTTACTGGTCATCTTGCAGATATTTTACTTGAAGATGGAGAGATCAAAGCCGAGGAAATTTGGGACATATACAAAAGTTCACCACGAATACCTCAGGTAGTTCCTTGACCTATGGTGGAAAAGTTTGAGGAGTTTGAAAGAAATGAACTATTTTTATGGTGCATCTAGAGAACCGGATGTTGATGTAACTTCTCTTGAAAATGGATTAAGAGAGGTATTCTTCATGTTTTAATTTAAATAGTGAATGTGACATCATATGTTATAATATGATGTCACATGATTGTCTTAAAGGAAATATGATGTCATGTTCAATATTTAGCCAAAAACATTATTATTCTGAGCACATTATAGTACAATCTTTTTTGGGGTTGTGGACGTTAATAAGTATTATTCAATTCAGAAATGTTTGTAGTTTTGTAAATATTTTGGAACCCTTTTTCTGTTGCTTGTTTCCAGCCTCCTGTAAATCCAGTCGATGAATATGGAGCCCTAATATATGCTGGTCGGTGGGGAATTCATGGGATCTCACTACCAGGAAGGGTCACGTTTGCCCCGGGAAATGTTGGGTTTTCAACGTTTGGTGCACCACGCCCTATGGAGGTGAGTGGAGTTGCTACTGATAAGTTCTGCTGTATCACCTCTTCCCATGTTTCTTTTACTGCAACTAATGGCAAATTTGTTCTCAATTTGTTCTCTTTGTTCAGACCCAAGTTGTAAGTGATGAAACCTGGAAGCTAATCGATAGTATTTGGGATAAACGGGTTCAAGAAATAAGAACAGAAGCTTCAATGGAGATTGAAGAAGATAACGAGAAGCCGGAACTTTTGATGGCCAGCCATTTCCTTTAAAAATACAAGGTGTTTCCATCTTCTGGATTCTTATGCAATTTCTCCACATACTAATTGAATAATTTCATGGTGAGAAATTTGTTCACCCTGAAGTCAAATTTCGTAAGAGCTTGTATTTTTATGATTAAAAAAGTAGATTCTTTATTGTTCTAGTATTCTACTTATGTACTTGTGTATATTCATTGTATAATTGTATTTTTTTACTTAGGTTTTTATCCTACTCCTACCAGGATGTTTCGTGGCCAAGTTATATGCATATATCATTTGTATTACTCAAGAAAAAACCCATTGGGGGTAAAACCCAAGGAAAGAGAATTCTTCAATGAACTACAAAATGATGTTAGACATGCTTAATATTACCTCGTTAAAAATCTTGTCACAAAAAACTTGTGGGATAAGACCTGATCAAGGGAAAAATAGTATAGTGTGTATACATGTCTTGTAATAATCTCCTTTAAAAGATCTGCTCCCCTTATTATGGCATGGCATAAGTTCATTGATCAATGTTTTAGTAAGCCTGTCATGTTGATTTGCTTCAAACAATTTGAATTCTTGAAATACCTTCATATGGATGGTAGTACAATATATAATAGCAACAATCGTATGTGTCATCTTTCTAAGATTGATTATTCAGGTTTGTCACATTAGGTCATGTATCTTTAAGGTTGAGTATGCCCAAAAACTTCCTGATTTGCAAAGGAATCTAAAACATGGAGATGCGTTCTCTTCACTAGTAATACTTGACATCTTCAATATACAATTAAGAAATAAAATGCTACTTATAAAATTATCAGTAGGGTCGGGTAAGGTTAGAATGTAATTTTAAAATGCTAGTAGGGTCAGGTCAGGGTAGGGTGTGATGTGATGTGACTGGGTTTGTTAAAAGCAACCATGGTTAATTGTAAAATATCTTTAAGCATAATTACTAAAATAGCCTCATAATTTGAGTGTAAATGATGGTTATCATTTGACATATATAAGTTATTCGGGAAATGAAAATGATAGAGTTATCAAAAATTACATGTCGAATTTATACACTAAATAATATAGTAAAATCTTAATCGTTAATTAATATTAATTTATAATAAATCAACGATTAGGATTACCTTATGTCATTCGATACACAAATTTAATATATATATATATATATATAACATTACTTTTTGGCAAAAGTGTACGACTCTTTATATGAAAAGTAGACCATTTTCTCTAGTTTTCCTTATAGCCAAGTACACTTTTCTCTTTATTCTTGCAAAATCTTCATTGAGGATCTAGCATCTGAGCTCATTATTCTCCTTTACAACTAGGAGTCATGTAATTAATTTTTAATAATTTTGGAAACGACACTCCCGATATTGTTGTGACTTGTGATAATATCAAATTTAAAACGTGGAAGATAGAAAACATCTTGTTCTTATTAATTACTTCCTGACCACACCATTGCAAGAGCGATATTATCTTTTAAGATAACTTTGAGTTATATTCAGCAACTGTTTTATAGTCTTGGAATCTAAGGTTGACCTAGTCGTATTGATCTCAATAAAGGTATGTGTCTCTCTTTAATGATCAAATCTTTCTTTTAAGCTCTTCCATAAATTCAGTAGGTCTCCAATAATGAAATATTTATTCTTCAAGCTTTTATCCAAGTGATAATATAGAAACTATAAAGCTTTTGACTTGTCTTGAATATAATTTTTTTTTTTTGTCTTCTAATTTCATTAACCGAAAACGTGGTGCAACTTGTTTTGCCCATAAAAAATAAGTACATTCATTTTTTTTATTTTTTTTGACTTGAACATTTAAACTAATTTATGCACATTTAAACTAATTTTTGAGATTCTAAAGTTAACCATTAAATTAACCTTTAGTGATTATTATTATTAACAATTGAATCCAAATTAAGATTTATTGGATAATATCCTAAAAATCTCTATTCAACTACTCACCGCGCAGAGATAGTTTACATTCATCTTTTTGATTGAGTATTTTGAATTGTGGACTTACTGACATCTTCAATGTACAATTAAGCCATTAGCCCTCGTAATATAAAGCCAAATGGTGTTTTTGACTAACGCTCCAAAAGTTCGCATGTGACTTAGAATATAATTTTAAATTTATTAGTAGGGTTATGTCAGTATAGGATGTAACTTGGGTTTGTTAAAAGTAACCATGGTTAATTGTAAATTATCTTACTAAAATAGCCTCACAACTGATAATAATATAGAAAAAATCTACAATACACTGTCATACCAAATTGTCAATATCATCATCCAATGAATACGTGTCATTCCTAAATTTTTTAGTCCCTATGATTGTAGGTTTTTTTTTTTTTTTTTTGGAAGTCCCTACGGTATTAGTTTATTATAATTAAAGATACTTTAATTTTTTATTTTGAAAACCATCTTTCAACGGTGCGGTTAGTCTGAAATTAAAGGATGAAGGACATATATAATATTCACACTAATTGAAGAGTAAACGACTTTTTCAGACCCAAATAATAGCTTAATAACACTTTTCTACCCAGAGACTTCTAAAATACCACTTTCCCACCCAAATGACATCTTTTAGTGACACTTTCCCACCTACCCCGCCAATAGCTAATCGATTTCAACATCGTTGTGACCCCATACCACCACCATTCTCTTTCCTGATCATGACTCACCAAAACTTCTCAAACCTTACTCTTGTTGGCCTTGCCAATCATCTACAATCGAGCGATTAGGGTTTTCAAAGCCACCCCTCCAAAGTCAAATTCCAACCAATCACGACCATCAAAATCTAACCTTCCATCACCAAAAGACTCACCAATCTCCCCTCTTTAAAAGCCCCAATAACATGGATCAAGTTTGCTCTGCATTCATTGCCAAATCGAAAAGTGTATTTTTTTGGGTGACAAAGTAGTATTTTAAAAGTCTGTAGGTGGAAAAGTGTCATTAAGCCATTATTTAGGTGGGAAAAAGTCGTTAACTCCTAATTAAAATTGTTTATATATTTTTTGAAATATAAAAAAATAAAACTATTTTATTTTTGGAAAAATAATCAATTTTTAAAAACTAATTAGCAAGGGTGCGATGTGGTGGGGATATGACAGAGGTGGGGTGAGATGTGGGTGGGGAGCTGTGGGAGTTGTGAGATAGGGTTGACGGGCGGGTATAGGCAGTGGTGGAAATGGGCTATGATGGGGGGTGGGCTGCGATGTGGGGGTTTGTGATTATGGAGGGCTGCGCATGGCACGTTGTCGCTATTGATGGTTGTGCTGCTACACTTGCGACTTTCCGATTTCCTCCCGGCAAGTGAAAAAATAATCTGGTGGCTCTTTCTCTTTTCAATTTTTGATTTCTGCCATGTGGTTTGTGGTGGATTGTTGATTTAAATTGAACAAATGCATGTTGTGAAGGAAGAAAAAACATGGTTTTTTTTTCCTATTACCCTTGCGGAGGAGATTTAACTCCCTGGACCTCCCAAGTTTGCATTTAAAAAAATGACCTTGAAAATATTTTGCAATTTTTTTTTAATTTAGAAAAATTGACTTGACACACTTAGGATTCATTAAACACATAAATCGGGTTAAACTGAAAAGATTTAAACATATGTGGGTAATATTATGATCAACGAAAGTTTGTTTAAATTTTGAAAATTAAAAATGACCCCACCCTTCAAAATCGCTTAATTGAGCCAAATACCCAAAAACGGACCGACGAACACCTTTGATTTCTCTGCCATTTTCGGCGATGAAAGTGCCTTATTCCGACAAATATTCGATCCTAAAGCTTCCTTACACAAAATCATGTTCGATATTCACAAAGAGGAGGAAACCCAACCCCACTCCAAATCCTAGACTCTAACGGCGACGACAATTCAAAGGCTATTGAAAAAGATGCTCCAGTGGATCATCTGATGAGTGAAGGTAATCCAGAGGCAGAGGAGACAACGGCAGCACAAGAATAGAGAGAAAAATAAAAAAGCAGTTCTGAAAAGGAGGATGCCGCTGAAGAAAGGGTACATTTTTTACTTGTTTTTTTTTGAATTTGATGAGAAATTTGATTGATTTGTGCGAATTTGGGGGAGATGTATTTGGTTTTATTGTTATGGTGGTTGTGGCGTTTTGTCGAGCAGTTGGTGGGCATTAGGGGAGTGGCTTTGTTTGGGTTCTAGAAGATGGAGGAAGGCAAGGAAAGCCGTAGTGAGGTTGTTTGTGGGAGGTTGGTGCGCTTGGGATGGCAGGAGGTGGCATAATAGGGGGGCTGGAGGGCTACCCTACAATACCTCCTGCCATCCTTAGCCCTCCACCTCATGGAACCTGCAACAACAACCTTTGTAGGGCTTGCATTTGCTTCCCTTGTCCTCTCAAGGCCAAAAAGACCCACTCCCCGATGCCCTTGAAGCCATATCCCCCAAATTGGCAACCTATTGGTTGTTTTAGTTTCTTTTTTTTTTTTTTTGCGGATATTTAGTTTATATCAATTGTGCAGATTTTCCGAATTGTAAATTATAAAGACTATAGGTTGGAGGTTGTAAGCGATAAGGTACCGTACTTCCCCGTAAGGGTGATAGTTAGGTCGAGTTAACAAGTTTTTATGAGAATAATGAAGATTTTACAAGAACAGAAGAAGGGTATAGACTGATTCAAAGAGAGTTGTTTTGGTTATTTTGTGAACATCGGAGAAAATTGGAAAAAGACGTTTTGGGGGCAGGGAGTGTATTATATGTTGATGCACTCAATTAAAAGCCAAAAAAAAAAAAAAAAATGAAATGGGAAGCCACTACGATTTGGGATGATGGAATATTTCTTAATGACAGGTTTAAGATGCGGGGCATTTCCAAATGTGGAAGAGCAAGAGAGAATAAAGAAAAGTAGGGCAGCTAATAACTTGGCTAAAAATGTTTTTTTTTTTTTTTTTTTGGAGGAGGGGGGGAGACGTCTATTACAAGACGCGATTTAGAAGAGAGGTTAGGAGAAGGTGGATATACCTCTTCAGAGAGGTTCAAGATGTGCCTGATATGGTTTGTGCATCAATCCTAATGGCTTCTAACTCAACAAAAGCCGTTAATATGGATGTGTGAAGTTTGCAAGAAACATAGACTTCTTTAATGCTTATCCATGGGGACGGGTATCATTTTAGTAACCATGGACTCCTTGCAAGGAAAAAAACATGGCGTTAAAGTAGCGCTAAATGTCGAGAAGAATAGACCAAGCAAGTACAATTTGTTTGACTTCCCATAGGCAATACATGTAAATATTAATAGTTTTTGTTATA